ATTGTTGAGCTTATTTTGGGTGAAAAAAGTCACACTTCACTAGTTTTGGCACATCATCACAGCCTTCCTCTTTGTTGCACCTCCTGAATTGCCACCTCATACTCCCTGGGGGTATGGGCACCCCAGGTTGGGAACCCCTGCCCTAGACATAGCAGATTGACAAAATGTTCATCACAGGACATTTTGGTTACCTGCCTGCACCCACCTCCAGCTTGCTCAACTTGCTAATTTCCCCTATGTATGACCACACAGAGACCATAAACAAAAAAAGATAACATGCTTGTTACATGGTACATTGCACTTGTAATTGTAGTTCTTTAAACGACCATCTGTGCCCAGGACTCTGGCATGGACTCTATGACACCCACGGAGGCATGCCATGTTGCCCACTTCCCACTTCATGCCAGATGGCTCATGAAATGGTCTCTCTGGTGTTTGCTCAGGCCCAGTTCTCCCCTTACATATGTTTTGCTGTCTTGCATCTTTCCATCCACTCACCCTCCTTCTGACTGTAAAGACTCCAGCAGTTGCAAACTCAAGTCATTTTGTAGGAAGAGAACAGAAAGAGAGTGCAGAAGGAGGCAAAGTAAACTGAGTTATTCCAAGCAAGTGTGTTGATATAAGGAAGGAGGAAAGATAAGTCTGGGAAACAAACAAAAAAACACACGAAAGCTGAAGGGGAGGAGTGCTGCAAACTGCTGAGATTATGCAGAGGGCTGGAGGAGCAGCATGTTATTTTCCCTTTGCTCAATTTCCTCATTAGTTTCCTTCTCATTCTTCTTCTTATGCTTCCCACCTTTTGCCATTCTTTTACTCTCTTTTTCCCCCATGTGTGTGGGGGTTGCCAGATATAAAAGAGGGCAAATATCTTACATCTTTAATAGTTGTGTAACAGATGGGATTCCAGCAGATATAGCTAGTCATGCAAATTCCTTCTAGTACACCATGCAGCTTGTCTTAGAAACAAATTTCACTGGGTTCCTTTGGACTTAACCTTGAATAAGCATGCATGGAATTGTATGCACAGAATTGTATACATAAAACTGTGAACCTCACCAGTTCTTTTCTTCTGTACAATGGGTGTCAGAGCAGAAAACTCCAGGATTCAAAGGAGTGGGAGGCTGCTTGATTTGGGCTCTGACTCCTCCTCTGCCTTCCACTCAATTCCCTGGATACTTTAAATTTTAGCTTCACTGGCTTGCCTTCTGTGAAATGGGTGTCTTGATTGGCCATGCTCACTATGGCAGTTATTTTGTAAATAGTACCAATGATATGTTTTCTATATTCCAGATAATCAAATAGAGTTGGAGTTGGGGGCTAATGAGGCCATCAAGTTCAGCCCTCTGCTTATTGCAGGACTCCAGTTAAATCTTCCCTGACAGATGGCTGTCCAACTCTCTTGAATGTCTCCAGTATGTGACACCCCACAACCTCCCCTGGGAACTGGTTCCATTGCTGTACTGCTCTAACAGTCAGGCAATTTTCCCTGATATCTAGCTGGAATCTGGCTTCCTGTAACTTGAGCCCATTATTCCATGTCCTGCACTCTGGGATGATTGAGGAGAGATCCTGGCCTTTCTCTGTGTGACAGCCTTTTAAGCTTACATATTTTCCCTCAGACTTCTCTTCTTGAGGCTAAACATACCAGTTTCAATGTCTCCCCATAGCACTTCATATCCAGTTCTCTGATCATCTTTATTGCCCTCCTCTGAGCTTTTTCCAATTTTTCTACAATGTGCCTACCCCCTGAAGGGAGCCAGGACCCTCTGACTGTGTGGTCACACAGCTCATCCCTCCTAGCTTGTGTTTTCTGTGGTCACAAAGTAATTGGAGGAAAGGTTTTGGCTTCATCCTTGAAGCATTCGGGAACACAGGGTTTCCTCATTCAAGGGAAGGTGCTACAAGCTCTTCCAAAATCTAGAAGTTTCCATAACATTACTCTTTGCAGGCATAGGCGCCATATATGTGACTGCAGAGATGAACTCTCAAAGAAGTGCAGTTACCACTAAGTAACATGTTTTCCTCACTTCAGTGAACTTAGGCAGGTGCTCCACAGAGACATGGCAACAGGAACTGGAGTGGAAAAGAGTGGCTGCAGTTAAGATCAGAAGAGGAAGACTGAGGTTTGGCTGCCTCCCATTACATATGTTCTTAGATACAGCTGCAACCAATTTTATTCCTGTCCTGAGCCTTAGCTGTGATTTCCATAACATACAGCAATCACTTCCCTGTGCAGGCTTTCAATACATTTGCATTATTATTATTATTATTATCATCATCATCATCATCATCATCATCATCATCATCATTGCAACAAAGTAAAACAACATTTACTTTAGAAAGGAGCTTGCAGACAATATGCACCTTTGGTAACTTCAGAAACCAGTAACTCAAGATTGCTCTAGAACACTCAGAATGTCCTCTGTTGGGAGAATTGTATTCTTCATTACGAAGAATAAACAATTATAAGACAGTTTAAGCAGGGAAAGATAGGATCCCAGCTCTAAAGCATCCTGGGAGGATATCAATACATCTCCACACACCCCAGCCACACACCTCATGAGCATTGATGGTTGTGGGAATGGTGGTTATTTGTTTCATTATTTATTTAATCTAAATCCTTTTCCTCCAAGAAATGACACTCAGGGCTGCTACCAATACAATACAAATGGTTTTATTAACTATGGTGTGTAGACCTGTCCCACTGTTTTCTCTGTTGCCAAACTTTACCAGGTTTTGCACTGAACAAACCACTGAACAATCTATTTAACCACTGCCAAAAGTGGTGGAGTGTGGGAGGGATCAGTGTGTTAGTCATGGGAGAAAATACCTCTGCCATACCACTATCAACATTTGTATGGACTCCTGTCAAGTCATATGCTGCTGTATTGATGCATCCATTGTGGTATTTTCAAGGTGTTTGCTGTTTGTTGTTTTCCATTGACCTGGTGTGTTTCATAGAGCTGGCTCACTACTAGTACCTGCCTGGAAACACATCCTGTCATTTAGAACATTTTCCACTAAGGTGCAATATGTCAGGTACTGGCTATAGTTGGCTATGAAGACACTGTGCATAGCTCAAAGGTACCATGCTTAATTATTGCTGTTTGTGTTCCTGGGTTGAGTTCAAGCATGCAAAAGAACAGTTAAAGTTGGTATGAATAAAAGGTACCCCTCTTCAAATTGCTGATATAGTCGATATAAGTACACATCTCTCCATGGCCTTTTGGCTTGTCAAATGTATCACAATCATAACCATTTACTTTTCAGGTGCTTCCTGCTGAAGTTCTGGACAGGAAGCAAACAGCCTCAAGTGTGATGACAAAAAACTTCCTCTGGTATTTCATTTTAATTGGGCTACTTTGTGCCACAATGCCAACGCTGAGTGCCATGATGGCAAGCTAATACTGCATGTGCAGGAACCAGCAACCTATGTGTAGTCAGGCAGTTAAATGTCTCATGTTCCGTATCACTTCAAGCCAGGTTTTAGATGCTGCTACAGGGCTGCATCTGGGTGGGAGGGGTGGCTCAAAATGTACAGACTTGACCTACCACTGAATTTCCAGTGCTCATAGAACACTTCAGATATAGCATTTTCACAAATGTGGCACTGATTTAATTTCAGTGCATGTTCTACCAGTTATAAATCTATGTGCTGCTGCAACACCCCATGTATAAGCCCATTGCCCTGGAAGAGAAGAGATAAAACTGTGGCCCCTTTATGTGCATAGTCGGGCAAACTCTGAAAGAAGTCATTCTAGGAAAATTGCATCTTCAAACTACTCAGTTTGGGGAAAAAAACACTGAATTACAGCCAGATTACCTGGCCGTAATTTGGAGGGCAGAGAAAAAGGCAAACCTGGTAAGTCAAAAGTTGGTGCATTGCTCATTGCAAAGAGACTTTGCCTGTAACTCCTTCACATGTTATTTTCAGTCAAGTGACACCTTTACTTTCCTTCCTAAACTACAGATTTGTGCATTGGCCTCAATGGAATTATTCTAAAAGAAATGTTTCAAACATTGTATCAGCCTTCCCCAAGCAGGTACCCTCCAGATGTTTTAAAATTCCAATTCCCATCAGCCCCAGCCAGCATGGCTGATGATCAGCAATGCTAGAATTTCTTGTCAAATCCAGAAAAGTGATTAAAAACAACTGCCAATGCCACAGCTAGAAACTGTGATATGGTTGCTTTTGTTGTATTTGTTGAAATATTCTTCCACATGGTTCAGAGAATATGGGAGAACCTTAGCCATGTATCTGACACACAATTAGCCAAGATAAAGAGTTAAATCCTAAAGATGCATAAATTCATAAATTTAACATAAGATGCTCGTATCAACATGATGTGACTGACAAATATTTATCCATTGTTTAGGCTAGCTAGAGTACAGTTTGGAAATCCACCTTTATTTCCAAGTAAAGTTTGGAAATCCATCATTGAGCCGTTTTAAGAGAGAGGGAGAACTGGCAAAGGCCAGATCAGAGGACCATAGACATGATAGATGTCCAACTGTATTGCTTCAGGAGTGAAACACACAACTAACATTTATTTTCTCCCCATCTCCAATTGTTTCATGTTTTACATTTGCTTTTACATTCCTGATATATGAGAACAAGAACAACAGCAAAAACCCTGTTTGCTAATCATGGATTTTTTTAAAGGATGTGCCATTTATCTTGCCACAGCTATTTATCTTCAGTGACTTAGGTCAAGTCACAACTACAGGAAAAAAATGGAGTTTGCTTCTGCTGCCTTGATGCAAGATATCCCACTACAGCTGCTCCTAATATCAGCTTCTGATATTGCCAGTGTGAACAAGTTACATTTGCCCCAAGTGTCCTGGGACCATTAACAGTGCTAGACAGCCTGTTGTACAAAACCTCTGTGTTATGTACAAGTCAGAAACACATCGATTTTTGTCTGATGTCAACATATGTATTACATCTGACTTAAAGAATGTAACTGTTACCTCTCCCCCACCCCTGGTCTTTTTCTCAGAAAACTGCTGCAGATAGCAAGAGGCAGGAAATCATCGTGTTGGATTCCAAACGAAGCAATGCTATTAATATTGGGCTGACAGTATTACCTCCTCCAAGGACAATCAAGACTGCCATTTTGAACTTTGATGAATATGCCTTAAATAAGGAAGGAATAGAGGTACTGAGTTCTAAGTTAAGAGCATATTGTTTTTTCCAGGTATTGTGGCTTAAAAGTATATCCATATGTAAGATCTTGTCTAGCTGAATGGTATTATACATGTTATTCAGTAGGAATGAACCTGTAACATGGGACCCACTTTTCATTTTTGAACCTATATGTCCATCTTTTTCCAGATGCAAAATAAGATAGTAGAGATCCTGTATCTTGAGTAGTTGTGCAGAAGAGGGAATTTCAACAAGTGCAACTTTTCCTACTTACTTGCCTGCCACAATTCCCAATTCTACACAGCTGCTAAAGGTACAGAAGCCCCTTCCTCCTTTGTGTCTTGGCTTTTTATGTCCTTTTGTTTCTCTTTCTAAAAGAAGCCCTAAGCTAAAATTCATAGAAGTACCACTGGTGCAATTCAGCTTCTTCTTGTGGTTGTTGTTAGTCGTGAAGTCGTGTTCGACCCATCGCAACCCCATGGACAACATTCATCCAGGCCTTTCTGACCTCCACCATCCCCCAGAGACCACTTAAGCTCATACCAACTGCTTCAGTGACTCCATCTAGCCACCTCATCCTCTGCCATCCCCTTCTTCTTTTGCCATCTATTGTTCCCAGCATTAGGCTCTTCTCCACAGAGTTCTTCCTTCTCATTAGGTGGCCAAAGTATTTGAGTTTCATCTTCAGGATCTGACCTTCTAGTCAGGGTTGATCTCCTCTAGCACTGGCCGGTTTGATCACCTTGCAGTCCAAGGGAATCGTAGGAGTCCTCTCTAGCACCACAATTCAAAGGCCTCAATTCTTTGGTGCTCAGCCTTTCTTATGGTCCAGCTTTCACAGCCATACATTGCAACTGGGAAAACCATACATTGCCTTAACTATACACACTTTTGTTGGCAGGGTGATGTCTCTGCTTTTTAGTATGCTGTCTAGATTTGCCATAGTTTTCCTCCCCAGGAACAAGCGTCTTTTAATTTCTTGGCTGCAGTCCCCATCTGCGGTGATCTTCGAGCCCAGGAAAATAAAATCTGTCACTACCTCCAGTTCTTCCCCATCTATTTGCCAGGAAGTGAGAGGACCGAATGTCATGATCTTAGTTTTCTTAATGTTGAGTTTCAAGCCAACTTTTGCACTCTCCACCTTCACCCGCATCAAGAGGCATTTTAGTTCCTCTTCACTTTCTGCCATGAGAGTGGTATCATCTGCATATCTGAGGTTGTTGATATTTCTCCCAGCAATCTTAATTCCAACTGGTGATTCATCTAGCCCCACCTTTCTCATGATGTGCTCTGCATATAAATTAAACTGGCAGGGCAACAGTATACAGCCTTGCCGAATTCATTTCTCAATTTTGAACCAATCAGTGGTTCCATGTCCAGTTCTCACTGTTGCTTCTTGACCCACATATAGGTTTCTCAAGAGACAAATAAGATGGTCTGGTACTCCCATTTCTTTAAGAACTTGCCACAATTTGTTGTGATCCACACAATCAAAGGCTTTAGCATAGTCAATGAAGCAGAAGTAGATGTTTTTCTGCAACTCCCTAGCTTTCTCCATGATCCAGCATATGTTGGCAATTTGATCTCTAGTTCCTCTCCCTCTTCGAAATCCTGCCTGTACTTCTGGTAGTTCTCTGTCCACATACTGCTGGAGCCTAGCTTGTAGGATTTTGAGCATCACTTTGCTAGAATGTGAAATGAATGCAATGGTGCGGTAGTTTGAACATTCTTTGGCATTGCCCTTCTTTGGGATCGGAATGTAAACTGACCTTTTCCAATCCTGTGGCCACTGTTGAGTTTTCCAAATTTGCTGGCATATTGAGTGTAGCACTTTTACTGCATCATCTTTTAGGATTTTGAATAGCTCAGCTGGAATACTGTCACCTCCACTAGCTTTGTTGTTGCTCAGACTTCCTAGAGCCCATTTGACTTAACATTCCAGGATGTCTGGCTCAAGGTCAGTGACCACCCCATCGTGGTTATCAGGGACGTTAAGCTCTTTCTTGTATAGTTCCTCTGTGTAATCTTGCCACCACTTCTTACTCTCTTCTGCCTCTGTTAGGTCCCTGCCATTTTGGTCCTTTATCAAGCCCATCTTTGCATGAAACGTTCCCTTCATATCTCCAATTTTCTTGAAGAGATCTCTGGTCCTCCCTATTCTGTTGTTTTCTTCTATTTCTTTGCACTGTTCATTTAAGAAGGCATTCTTATCTCTTCTAGTTATTCTCTGGAATTCTGCATTCAATTGGGTGTATCTTTCCTTTTCTCCCTTGCCTTTTGCTTCCCTTCTTTCCTCAGCTATTTGTAAAGCTTCCTCAGACAGCCATTCTGCTTTTGCATTTCTTTTTCTTTGGGTTGGTTTTACTTGCTACCTCTTGTACAATGTTGCAAACCTCCGTCCATAGTTCTTCAGGCACTCTGTCTATCAGATCTAATTCCTTAAATCTATTTGTCACCTCTACTGTATATTCTTCAGGGATATGATTTAGGTCATACCTGAGTGGCCTAGTGCTTTTCCCCCTCAATTTAAGCCTAAATTGTGCGACCAGAAGCTCATGATCTGAGCCACAGTCAGCTCCTGGTCTAGTTTTTACTGACCGTATAGAGCTTCTCCATCTTTGTCTGCAGAGCACATAGTCAATCTGATTTCTGTGTTGACCGTCTGGTGATGTCCATGTGTAGAGTTGTCTCTTGGGTTGCTGGAAAAGAGTGTTTGCTATGACCATCGTATTCTCTTGACAAATTCTACCAGCCTGTGCCCTACTTCATTTTGTACTCCAAGGCCAAACTTGCCTGTTATTCCGGTTAACTTTTGGCTTCCTACTTTAGCATTCCAATCTCCCATGATGATAAGGACATCATTTTTTGGTGTTCATTCTAGAAGGGGTTGTAGGCCTTCATAGAACTGGTCAACTTAAGCCTCTTTGGCACCAGTGGTTGGGGCATAGACTTGGACTATTGTGATGTTGGATGGTTTGCCTTGGATTCGAAGTGAGATCATTCTGTCATTTTGGAGATTGTATCCCAGTACTGCTTTTCCTACTCTTTTATTGACTATGAAGGCTATTCCATTTCTTCTGAGGGATTCTTGCCCACAGTAGTATACCTCATGGTCATCTGAATTAAATTCACCCATTCCTTCCATTTTAGTTCACTCATTCCTAAGATGTTGATGTTCAGTCTTGTCATCTCTTGTTTGACCACATCCAGCTTGCCTTGATTCATGGATCTTACATTCCAGGTTCCTATGGAGTATAGATCTTTACAGCATCGGACTTTCCTTTCACCCCTAGATACATCAGCAACTGAGTGTCCTTTCGGCTTCGATGCAGTCGCTTCATTCTTTCTTGCACTACTAGTACTAGCCCTCTGCTCTTCCCCAGTAGCATATTGGACACCTTCCGACCTGAGGTGCTCATCTTCCAGCTTTGTATCTTTTTGCCTTTTGGTACTGTCCATGGAGTTTTCATGGTAAAGTTACTGGAGTGGGTTGCCATTTCCTTCTCCAGTGGATCACGTTTTGTCAGAGCTCTCTGTTATGACCTGTCCATCTTGGGTGCCCCCGCACGGCATAGCTCATAGCTTCATTGAGCTACGCAATCCCCTTCACCATGACAAGGCAGTGATCCATGAAGGTGATTCAATTCTTAGTAGATCTCATTTGAGTCCTATCCTGTGGAATCAGCAAAATAGCCTACAATTGCAAGAACTGTTGGGAGAGGAGGTCAACAGAAGCTGAGCTAAATTCTGCTTTTTAGAGGACTCTCTGTAGTGAGGTTAGACTTTCTCCCTGGCCACTGGAAGAATAGCAAGCGGACGGGAAACTGAGTTGCAAATATGTTTTTCCTGTGTTCTGCACACAATACACAAAGATTGTGCAGAAACACTGGGAATTGTTTGCAGTAGGAAGGAAAGTAGCAAGGGAATCAATACCTGGAAAATACCGAATACAGTTGGAAAGAAAATTTCATCAATGAAATTATTCTGAAATAAGACAGTGCACAATTATTTATATATTTCTGTAAGTGGAACAATTTCCCTCCCCTCCCCAGTTCCACTAATATCCAGGGCAAATTTCAAGCTACATTCAACATTTAGCATATAGCTGATCCTTTATGTGTGTCTCTCTCTTTAGTGTAAGTATATGGCCCTGGTCTGAAGTGGGCCCACCATGCACTGTTGGAAGACATGTGTCCATTTTTTCATCCTAAATCCCACATGGGGATAAAGAAAAGAATAAAAGTTCCATTGGTGCTACTTGAAGGGGCCTTTCCTTAGCTCCATGTAGGGAAGGTAAATGTAAAGGGGGAAGTATCCAAGAAAGAACGTTTATCTCTACCACAATTGGTAGTCCACAATTGTCCCATTGAAGATCAGGGCCCCATATTTTTACACTAATGTAAAAACAAAAAAGTTAGGCTAAGCTACACACTATGCACTTGACATAGAGTGTTATTTATCTCCCAGTCATCCTGATCTAACTATAGCTAGGAACAGGTTCATGCAGTAATCCTACCTGCCACTCACTGGGGCTGTGTACGTATATGATTTCAGCAGCAGCATTTATCACTTGTTTGGGTGGGTATGGTGGGTTTATTTGGGCCCTTCTCTTTCCCAGGTTGCCTGAAGATGTGCTTATGAACATTACTGAGCATTTTGGTTGGGACCTCACATGAATAGTCCATGTGAGCCAGATGGACTTCCGATCCCCACAGCATGTACACAGAAGAGCTGTTTGTACATATAGATGTCAAGAGTGGTTATAAAGGCATAAGCCTCCTTCCTCTAAGCACATCAGTGGTGGTTGTAGCTCAGACTAAAGAGAGAGCAGTTTATAGACATATTTTAATTATAAGCTGCTTTGTAAAGTAGTAAGTTTGATGTTGGTAGTCTTTAATATTTGTACTTTCCTTGGAAAAGTTGTGGGCTTGTGTCATCAAAATGCACATAATTGAATTTCAGTTTTACTATGGGTACAAATTGAATGGGGATCCTTTATTTTGCTTAATCTGCCACTGATGGCACTCTGTCTTTCTAGAAAATTCTCACAATGATTCCTACAGAAGAGGAGAAGCAAAAAATTCAGGAGGCTCAGCTAGCTAACCCTGATATGCCTCTTGGCTCGGCCGAACAGTTCCTTCTGACCCTTTCTTCCATCACTGAACTTTCTCCTAGACTTCAGCTCTGGGCATTCAAACTGGATTATGAACTTGTGGAAAAGGTAATTCCTGATTGTTGACTATGTTATAGTAGCTTCTAGACTTAAATTCATTTCATTTTGACTCCACTGTACACAGTCAATTAGTTGATTAGATGATGCATTTCCAAACCACTGCAAACTACTCAAAAGGTAAAGACATCTTTCTGTTCCTTGTGTCCATTTTGTTTTGAGTGTGAGTTGCTGTCATTAGGCAAGTCTCTGCTCACCACCACCACCCTTAATTGGGAGGGTATCACACTGGGGCTAATGCAATGCCTGCTTGAAAAATGGATATTCAAATCCTGCTTTGAACATCACAGTACTTGGTGTGAGCAGACTAAAGTGCACTGGGATGAAACATTTCTAATCAGACAAACACAAAGTGTTTTACTCCAGAAATGACAAACTCAGAAGAAATGGAGTGGCTCTAATACTGAGGCAAGCAGTAGCACAGAGAATAAGAGGCTATAATGCAAAATCTGACTGAATCATATCGATCAGAATTAGTGGAGAACCTATCAACATAACCATCATTCAAGTCAATGCTCCAGCAATAGATGCAGAAGAAGAAAGTATATACAAGAATTTAAGAGGAAAGTGATAACACGCCAAAGCAAGATGTATTGCTAATCCTAAGTGACTGGAATGCAAACATAAAAAACAAAGCAAAATCAAATATTGTAGGAAAAATTGGCCTGAGGGTAAGAAATGAAGCGGGAGAATTACTCATTAAATTTGGTGGAGCCAACAATCTGTTCATTACAAACACTTCAAGCAATCACCCATACGATTGTATACATGGACTTCAACAGATGGCCATATAGAAATCAATTAGAATGTGTAGTTGAAAGCAGAAGGAGGAGAATCTATATTCTTACTACCCAAACAAGACCAGTAGTGACTATCAACTCTTAATTTAAAAAACCAGCATCAAGCTAAAAAAGATCAGCAACAAAAGCATAATGCCAAAATATAATTCAGGTAGTATCCCTAAAATTTAAAGTTCACATAAAGAACAGATCTGCATTGTTCAGCTTAATTGACCAGAAGAACTGTGGAATGAGACCAGAAACATTATTTGTGAAGTATGCCAAAAGATCATTTCTGTAGCAACTGGAGAGAAAAAGCCTATATGTATGACAAAAGAAACACAAAGGACAGGCCAAAAGCAAAAGGTGACAGAAATACGGTCAGATTCCAACTTTCCAGTGGCTATCACACAGAGACAAAAGAAAACATATTACAATGAGTCTAAAGAAATAGTAGAGAGCAACAAAAAGGGAAAAAACAAGAAACATTTCCAAAAGATCCAAGAAATCAAAGGGAAATTCAGACCTAGATTAGGAATGCTAAAATGGTTTCTACATTGTTTTAATTTCTTCTGCTACACACTTTATTGTGATTTCTTTGCCAGTTCCTAGTTTTCGTATTGTTTTAATTGGATTTTATGCTTTTAATTGTTTGATCGTCCCTTGCTATTTTGTTGTATTGGCCTATGGGGCAGCAAATGAATGAATGAATGATAAAGAAGGGAACACACTATCAGACCAGGAGAAAATAAAGAAAAAGTGGAAAGAATATAAAGATGAACTGTGCAGAAGAGAAGAAAGGGTGACAGAGCTCTTTGAAGTGGCATACTATGAATCATAGAATAGTAGAGTTGGAAGGCTGAACCTTGTGGTACACCACTTCTTATCTTTCCCAAGTTTGAAAATGTGCAATTGATGAGCACTTCTTAAGTCTGATTCTGTAGCCGAGTGTGGATCCACCTGATCGTTGTTTCATGTAGCTCAATTTTTGCTGGTTTGTTAATCATGATAATATTGGGCACTTTTTCAAAGATTCATTAGAAGATATCTTATTTTTCTTTCTCAAATTATAGAAGGGGAGAAAATCGCCAGCAGAATCATTCTTATGTGAGTGAACTGAGTAATTGGATGTGTCTGATTCTTAGGTGGGATAAATTTGTGGAATTCTGGTAAAGTCCACAATGTGGATCTGTACTGGGCTGTTTGAAAATTCCATAGATCTAGTATCTTATGAACAGAGGGGAAAATCAGATTCTAGGCTAACTAAACCATATAGAATTATAGCCTGCAGCTGCTCTAAACCATACATCTTGCTCAAATTGAAAAGTAATTGAACAGGGATGTTTTGGGTTTAAAAGAGTCCTAGTTTAGTATTAAGGATAAAAGTGGCAGTAGATTTTGGAACATTTGGCAGCTAGAGAGAAAAAAGGGGATAGTACCATCAATTTCAAATTTGCTAGAGCACAGTTTGGGAATTGTTGTGGCAATTAAAAACAGAATCAATACAGAAGTATGTATTGAAGTATCTTTTCCTTCAATTTCTTTCTTGCTATTAATAATAGGAAGTTGCAGAACCTCTTCTGGACTTGAAGGAAGGAATGGACCAGCTGGAAAACAATAAAACCTTGGGATTTATCCTTTCTACTCTGTTAGCCATTGGAAATTTTCTAAATGGAACCAATGTAAGCTTTCCCTCTGCTTATTAGCCAATCCTTATTAACAAGTCTTCTTGTGGTTGTGATGAATCAGATGGGGACATGTGACAAAATCACAGGGAGGAAAAACTTTTTCCCCCTTTTGCCCTGTTTTGGTCTTGACCCCTCTAACAGCTTTAGGGTTCAAAGCAAGAAGGATTCCTTTCTTTCTCTTTGGGTTGGAACTCATTGGGAGCCAATTGTATAAGCAGCCCATACAGTGTGGCAGAGCAGCAGGTAGCTGCCACCACTGTACTGTTCCCAAATGCAACATTTTACTTTTCTACTTCAAAGTGAGCAGTACTCATCTACCTAGAGGGGAGATTGTAAAGTAGTAAACTTGAGGAAAAGGAGGGGAGGAGTAATTGTTTTTTTTTATTGTGGATATGATTAAAACAGAACAAAAAATTAAAGTATCAAAATGGCAAAATAAAATGTTACAGGTTCTTCCTATTATGTTACTTTATTATGTTGTGAGCCTCCCAGAAACCCTATGGCTAATGGGCTGGCATAGAAACTAAATAAATAATCAAATAAATACATGAAATTTGAATTGATCAGTTACAATCAATGCATAAAATACTGCTATCCATAAATGTAGATATGCATAATCTTCAACAGAGATGGACCAAATGGCCATGTAAGTATCCATTCATAGGTTATACCTAATGACCAGCCATTGAAAAGTTGAAAGCATCATTAAGTCCTCAATCCACTGTGTATTGGAAGTTCCTTCCAATATTGCAATATCAGTCTTAGAGCATTCAAAAGGGTGCAGAAAATCGATTCACATGGACTCACATTATGTTTCGAGAAGTAGCTCTACCTGCTTAATTAAGAAGACCATCAGAAAATACCTTTTCACTATAAAATTTATTCATATTATTACCTCATCACATAAAAAAGCAGCCACTTGGCATTGCCAAAACTTATGGATAAGAGAAGCATTTGATGTATTATACCTTCAACAGTTAGCTGATTTAGACAACCCTTGCTTAAAAGACATTGTGGTATCCAATATACCTGGAATACAAGTTTTTGCTGAATAAAAAGTAACTTAAAATCCATTGACCCTTCCAAGACAGATATCAACACAGCAACCCAGTGGTTGAGTATGATAGTAAAATCCAATGCACCGGTCATTTAAAGGGAAAAATTTATTTTGGGCTTGACCTGTTCCTGTTAACCTCAGTTTCTGGGTTGAGGAGTAGTGCTTGTGTCAGTGCAGCTCTCTTTTTGACTAAACTGTATTGAAGCCATGAAAAGCCAAGCCCTCTTACCCTTTTGTGTCCTGTTTCTTGAGCATATTAGCATGTTCTCCAATTTAGATAGTGAAGCAGGGGCATATTCTCTCCCACATAGTATCCCTGTGAGCAATATGTCCCCTAGAGGGTCTTTCCTTTCCCATTTCAGCCTGCATAGCAAGTGCTCTGTTTTGGTTCTAATTCAAGTAACTATAATCTTTAAAAGAAAGCAAGATTGTAATGTAGCCTTCAGACTTCCACCTATGATTTGACAGAGTATGAATTCTAGATTATATTGCATTCTGGTCCACAAATTGATTTGATAGTTGCAATTCAGGAGAGTTTGTTCGAAAATGTGCCCCAAACAAGTTCCTAACATGTCTCTATTTGGAATACCTTAGACAAGAGTTTTTGCCAGTTTCGAGTTTTGTTAACATTGACAGAACCGAAGATTTAATACAAATAACTACTAAGTTACCCTAAGCATTCTAACCATACATATATATAAATCTCCTGCTCTGTATTTTATTGTCATGTTCAGATAGCTGGTTCCCCTCAGATTTCCAGATTTTAAAAAGGTTTTTAAGATTGGCACAAAGAAAACACATTCTGTTTCTGTTTCTTTTCTTTCCTCTACATAGGCCAAAGCCTTTGATTTGAGCTACCTCGAGAAAGTTCCAGAAGTGAAGGACACTGTGCATAAGCAGTCTCTCTTACATCACGTCTGTACAATAGTGGTGGAAAAATTTCCAGACAGCACAGACCTTTACTCCGAGATTGGAGCCATCACTAGGTCAGCCAAGGTATGCCTTTTAGTGTGAGGAAATCTCCTTTTACTATGCAAGAAGTTATCTTTATCAGCCTTCCTACTGTATGGAATAAAAATGGCTTAAGTGCAACATTCAAATGTTGCTTTTCTATGTTTTCTTCCTTACTCCATCTAAGCAGTGCACTTAGAAATATGGTTTTGTTTTATTCACTTGGAATTTTGGGGGGTATGGAATATTTATTTCTTCATTTCTCTTGGTCAGGTTTTTGAACAGTTAATCTGTTCTGTGAATCTAAAGCTAATGATGTATTTTTATAGTGTGTTAATTAAGCTACAAAGCAATTCATATAACTTAACATTGTTTAAAAATATACTGACTCAGTAAGCAGTTGACTCAGCTTGCATATGGTTGCTATTTTTGTGCATTCCCACCAACAACAGCTTCCTTATACTGCAACATCTTGTATGGAGGTAGATATTTTTAAATGAGGAAGAGAAAACTAAGCATCAGAATAGAATACTAGCAGCATAACAAGAAACAAGACTGTGCAGATGGAAAAGGAAGGACAATGAAAATTAGAAAGATGGAGTTACTATAGAGACATACTTGTGAACAGATCCAGCTTTGCACAAGTTATGGTAGTGCTTAGTTTGGAACAGCAAATGTTTCAAGTGGAGTATCTCAGCTGTCAGAGTTGGACCTCAAGACTGGAGATAACATTGCAGGCTTTGAATTGACACATTGTTAAATAAATAACCTACACCTCTAGAGTTTCCTTATCATGCTTTCTACATTTCAGATGCCTAGGTTTTAGGTGTGTTGGTGCTATGGCATCAACAGTCACAAATTCACTTTTCTTATTATAGGAAAAAAATAGATTTTGAAAGATCCTTTCAATACATGCAATTAAAAATGTCAACCTGTAGCAAAAAGAATGGGGGCGTTTTTTCTTCACGGTATACAATGAGAGAGATTTTAGAATCCATTTAGTTCTGCATCTGTATATGTTAACAGGCATCACAAAACATTAGCTTGCCGCCATATAAATGACTGATTTTAAAACATTACTTGGTTCCTGTTCTTTTTCTGATGCCATATCTTCAACGGTCTCTGATCTTTACTTAATTACATGTCTTAATTACTTAATAATGTCCATTATTTCCATAGTGGAAAAGTTCCAAAGCAACTCTGGAGTACTCTTTAGATATTTTTCAGCTTCTTGTCTCAGAGAATTTTGTCTCTTGTCAGAATGATTATTTTTTAATATAGATTTGCTTACTTTTACACAATTCTCCTTTTTTGAGCGAAGGTTGGAGGGAATGTGTCCAACCACTCCACTTACTAAGATGGGGCTGAAAATCAAATTGTATATGAAACAATATTCCCTGGCTTACCATATTGTGACTATTTTTTTCCATAATGGTGATTTTTCCATTATGTGTTATAATGTCATCTGCTTGGCACTCTGCCTTCAGAGGAAAATCTACTGTTGCCACATCCTCCTATCATTCAGCAGGTTTAAGTTCATTCAGTCATTCTTCTGTCATTCAGCAGGAGGAAGTGTTGAAACAGGAGGTAGCAGAAGCTGTTATCAGCAGTGGGAAGTGGTCCAGATGTCCAGGAGGCTGAGTGGCAGTATAGATGTGGAATGTTCTTGGATGATTTGACTGTTGGGACAAGCCAGATATTTAACATTTAGGGACTGTGAGACACTGACTCTGGGGAACCATTTCCAGTGAGTATCGACATAATGGGCTAGATAAACCAGTACCTTGATTTAGTATTGGGCAGCTTCCTGTGTTACCCTGGTATAGAAATACAGCAAGGTACATAAAAAGAAAGCATTTATCCATTATCTGATGGGATAGAGGAAAGTTAAGACTGGGGGTCCATAGCTCAGTAGTAGAGCACAATGCTTTTCATGCAGAAGATTCCAGATTCATTCCCCAGTCTCTCCAGTTAGATCTAGAAAAAAGTTCTTCCTGAAATCCAGGAGAGCCACTACCAGTCCATGTTGACAACAATGGGCTACGTAGGTCACTGGTCTAACTCAGTATAAGTCAGCTTCCTATGTTATTCCTACCTGCTTGTGTTGGATGTGTGTTTCGACCACATTTTACACACACATTTCCAGATGTAATGGACTTGCATGAGTAAATACAAATCTTCTGGGGCCTATGCATGAGGTGCACCATGGGAGGTTTGTATTTCACACTCAAACCAGGGGATCACTATCTATTGAACAGAGACTAAGACTTAGATCAAAGGCTTTATTGTAAAGTATACAGGGCTCTCAAATATATGATTTTGATATAAAATGGAGGCATTTGTTAGATTATCCCAATTAAGCATTGACTGGTAGTTATCTCATTGAATAATATATATAAAAGCAAAATGTTGATGAGGAAGGAGAGCATGGAGGCAGGGACATCATGGTTGTCAAATAATGGAATGGGATAGGTGTCAGGAATTTGCTGTGTCGAAGATCTAGACAGAACGAGACAAAGTTGGAACACAAATCATGTGGGGGAATTCTGAAAGAAAGAATTCAGAAAAAATATAAAAGGAATTGGCCTGTTTCAGATGAAAACTGATGTAAGGACAGTCTTCCTCTAGAACAGGTGTCCCCGGGCCGTGGACCGGTGCCAGTCTGTGGCCTGTTAGGAACCAGCAGGAGGTGAGCAGCAGGCAAGTGAGCAAAGTTTCTTCTGTGGGCATAACCTCCACAATGCCCTTTCTCCTTTCGCTTGCGGACTACTCTAGCGCCAAGGTACAAGAGAAGGAGGCAGGTTGTCAGGAATGCTCTGACCAACCAAATCCAATCTTTTTCTACTGGGCTAAAGCTCCTCTGATGCCTTGTTTCTCCAGTGAGATGACAATGCGAGCTGCCTCTGAACCAACAGTATCCAATAGCACGTGTGGACTGTGGCTCGCACACGGGGCAGGCACTCCAATAAAAAAGGTGGAACGACTGAGCCTTAGACCAGAGGCAGCAGGCAGATTGAGATGATGGGGCTGGGCAGGCCTATTCATTTTTTCTGGTTTTTCCTATGAGAGCACAAACCCTGTTGTAAACTGTGCATGTATGGGATCTAGGTAGTATGCTCCTTATGAGAATCTAATGCCTGATGATCTCAGGTGGAGCTGAGGTGATGAGTTGTGTAATTATTTCATTAAATATCAGAATGTACTAGTAATAGAAATACAGTGCACAATAAATGTAATGTGCTTGAATCATCCTGAAACCACCACCCTTCCCCTGGTCCGTGGAAAAATTGTCTTCCACAAAACCAGCCCCTGATGCCAAAAAGGTTGGGGACCACTGCTCTAGAGGCCACCAAAGGGGGTCAGATATGAGGGTTGCAAACCACAGTATAATTGTAAGAACAAGTCACTCTGCCTCTACAAAAACAGTCAGGTTGTTTCTGTTCCCATGTAAACAAAATACTATGATGGGGAACCAAAGATAGATATGCCTTGTTAGATAACCTTGATCCCTCAATTGTGGCACAAGCAAAACAGGGTTGAAGGTGTGTGACCTTGAAGAAGCAGGTGACAAACCATTCATGTACTATCAGGCAATTGTTTTTAAAATATTGAACTGTATGTTCCTATTGAGCCTTTTCTCCCTCTTGCTGTAATCATGGGTACATTTTTAAAGGACAAAAAGAGTTCAGGAATCATCTTGATCTTTGGAACAGTTTGCAGAATTAATCAGACACCTGAAATAATTTGGTCCTTTAATTAGTTCATAGGAAGATTTTGTGTGGTTCTAAGTTACAATAGGTGCTGCATGTAAATGATGGAGCATTTTTCCCACCATGGTCCGGGATTGACCAATTCAGGATGTATCTCAGTTTGGCTAGAGTCATGCCTTAATCATTAGAGAAACATCTGCAGATTGCAGTGATTCCTTGCTTAGTATATCAACAAGGGTTTGTCCTAGTGCTTTCCCAGCACTTTCCTTCAGCTTTGGCTGATGTATCAGCTGCACCCTTACCTGGGTGAGCAGTGCCTGACAACCATGCACTGGTAACCTCATGCTCTGGTAACCTCCCAGTTTGGACTATTGCAATGCATTCTGCATGGGGCTGCCCTTGAAGATGGTCCGGATACTTCAATTGGTCCAAAATAGAGCTACCAGGTTATTAATGGGGACCAGCCAACACTCCCATATCACGCCTGTCCTATATTGTCTACACTGGCTGCCAAGTGAAGTCCGGGGCCAATTTAAGGTGCTGGTAATGACCTTTAAGGCCCTAAATGGCTTGGGTCATGGATACCTGAAGAAGAGCCTTCTCCCCTACATTCCTGCCCACCCCTTGAGATCTGAGGCAGAGGTCCTTCTCCAGGACCCCTCTTGGAAGGAGGGTAGCTAGCCAGAGAAGGGCCTGTTCAGTGATGGTGCCCTGACTGTGGAACATGCTCCCCAGGATGGTTCACCTGGCTCTGTCGCTTTATTCTTTTTGGTGTCAGGTGAAGACCTTTTTATTTTCCCAATATTTTAACAGCTAATTGGTTTTATCTTTGATTTTATTTATTGGATGCAGTGTGTAGTGTGTTGTTTGTTGCATATGCTTGCTTTGTTTTTTGTTTTTGTGTTTTTTCTAAGCCGTCCAGAGACTTAAGTATTGGATGGCATGTAAACTTTAAATAAATAAATAATAATGGTTTAATTAGATTAGAGGGCAGCTAGTGCAAATTACAGCTCTCTGGCTGTGGCTGATCGTGTGAGACAAAATGCACGGGCTAGTTGTATGAGGCATATCTCAAAAAAGAACTGTGCAGTTGAGCATAGACTGTGAAGTCAAGTGCAGCTGCATAGCAGCATCTGGAGGCAGGCAGTAAGTATGCTTTAAGTACCTTTGATAATGCAGCTGTACACGAAGGAGTAGGAAAATTGGACAGAATTGACATTTATGATAGTATGTTTCAATGTGAATCCTAGAACTTAGAATTAAGGTTCTTCTAAAAAAAATATTTTCCATTTCCATCCCAGTCTATCTGATTATTTTCTTACAATCTGTCTAGCC